GTAAAGAGAGATTTAAAAGACAGAGATAGATAATAAACAGAAGTTTGAGTGAGAGAAAAATAATATTAATAATCTGGAAGAACAATAGATTGTTTTATTGGATATGACATATCATAAAGAGTGAATGCATCTGCACCAGAGATTGGAAAGGATTTTGAGACATATCATCAATTATCTTCAGTCGACATTCCATGTTACCATCCCGATGGCACTAACCACAAAGCCAGCCTACACGTCCTAATATGGCTGGCTTAAACTAAATGTTTTGCCTTTCATTGACTGATGAAGCCATGCTTTTCGGTATGAAAAAAAATACTAGGTAGCTATTTTCCACCCTTACCAATCCCACTTCAGTCAGCTAACATTTTTTGTGTTGAGGAAGGCGATTGATGGCTAGGCATTTAAGTGCAACACATCTCCTAACCATCTCATTGAATCAGTGTAACTTCACAACTTCGTCGATTGATTTACCCATGCTTACCTAATATATGACTGAAGCCTAAACTCAATAATACTCATCTTTTTATACCTACCACCTAACATGGTAGATACAACTCAGATATCTGTGATCAAGTACAGTCAGTCAGTCAGTCAGTCAGTACAGTCTTTTCATGTCTTCCATACTTTCAATGGTCATGCCTCAGTCACAGCCTTAGAGGAGGACAGAGAGAAGTGCTGGGAGACAGTATACACTTCCTTTAATCCATAACCAGCCGGATATGATGTTTACTAATCCAGAGGTGAAATAATTTGCCATATACCAAAGGAGCCTTGATACACAAGGCATATTGAGATTTCGTCAGCGACCAACCTGCTGGGTCCGATTGATACAACTTCCTAACGAAATAAGTGAAGTGCTCAGCACGCTCTACCAACTCACTCTCTCTATATTTAAGCAGGTTGTAAGTCGATGTACTCCAATCCTGTAGTATCATCTTGCATTTGACAGTGAGAGAGAATTGCATGCCAAACATTCGAAGATTGCTCCTGCAGTGGAGGGGGGGGTTGAGAATACTATATCATTCGAAAAGGTTTTTTTTTATATCGAGTTTTTTCAATTAATAGGTCGTTTTTTTCATCTTGATGGTCTCTGTCAAGCAGATCAGAAGTTTTTAACTGAACTGAACAGAACTGTGAAGTTTCAGCCTGGAAATATGCATGAGACACGTACAACGGTATTTGAAGTTGTCATACTCTAGAAACTCATACATACAGGTAAGATAAAAGAAAATAAAGTAAAATGCCGGAAGACGTCAAAAACCAACAGAAAAGCTTGTTAAAGAAGACTGATCAGGATTTTGCAGAAGTTTTCTATTGACAATAAGCATAGCATGTCAAAGTGTATGTCGGTGGCTCACCGGTAGGATGCTTACCAATCATGCATGTGGTCCGAGATTTGATTTCCGGCCGACGCACATCTTCACCTCCCCCGGTTGTAAGGCTGAAAAGTGGTGACTAGTAACCTCTCATTTCGTAGAAAGATAAAGCATCATTACTACTTAAACTTCAAAAGTCAAGTTTGAAGCCCTGTTTATTATCCAACTAGCACAAAACCTAGGCCAAGCAAGGCTTCCTTCCTGTGGTCGATTGCCTTCAACCATCTAATATTACACAGTTCTTCGTCAGTCAGTTTCCACTGCTCATTGATGATTGCTAGATGGATTTCATGAAGCTACTACATAGTGAAAAATCATGACCTGTTTTGGCGTCCACTATATAGAGGTGAAGTGGCTTCTCATCGAAAGCATTAGTGAGGAGGGTAGTGCTCTATCACGAGTTGAAAAAGTTAGAATTTAAGGTTGAAGGAATTCTAACTCAAGTGGCTGAATAGTGGACGAGCTTGGTCTCATAACCTGAACAGGTTCTGGGTTCTATACAATTTTTTCTTTTTCTTTTGCGTTCCAAATAGCACATATGGTTTCAAGCTGAATTATTTGAAGTTTCAGTACCAGTGGTGTTTTTTTTTCACGGATTGGGATTACTAGCTTCACACTAAACCCCCCTTCACTTTGCCGGATCGATAACCATCGAAGGGAGATAAAGATGTCCGCTGATTGTGACCCGAACCGTAAACCACGTGCACAATTGGCCAGCACTCTACCACTGAACTACCGATGCACATGATGGAACAAAACAGCTGTCTGTCTAATGTTCCCCATGATTTTCAGTGATTTTTCTAACTGATTAACATTTGAAGTCGTCTTTTAGAGTACATAAAAAATATCGCCCTGTAGATAATTTGAAAGAATAAATCACTTAGAACTAATGTTTGACCTGACTGAATTCAATAAGATGCCAACAAAAGCAAGACTTTTATCAACTGTAAATCAGGGTATTGATCACTTGTCTTGACTCCTGTTTTCTCTGCTTCTGATTAGTTTTTCTATGTAGATCTTTGAGTTTGTAAAACATATGATGTACATTGTCGGCTAAGTCCAGATCCTTTTGAGTCTTATTGTCAAATTACAAGTATGCGATGGAATAACAGTTTGTGATTACTGTACACAGTTATGCGCATTTAGTAGCCGACAATCCTAACTAACGAGTAATTATTCCATCTTATATGAATACTTTGTATTACATGCTAGGTGGTGGATGTGATAGGGTGAGTAATATTGACGTCGGGTTTCGATCGAGTGGTGAGCAAGGAGGGGAGATCAGTCGACGAGGTTTTGGACCAGCTGCATTGATTGAGTGAGATGATTCGGACATGTTTTACGCATGCATGTCTTAGTCATCGGTCGTCTAACTCGACAGGCAATGATCAGTGTGGAAAACAGCCATCTAGTGGTGCTATAACCTAAACATGGCTTTGTCAGTCAATGAAATCCATAACAGTTCGTTAAAGCCATTCATATAGGGAGGTGTAGACTGTTTTCCTAGTTGGGTTTCTTGGGATGGTAAGAACCAATGAGGCAGACAATTGATAACATGGCTCAAAATCGTTGTCGATGGCTGGTGCAGATGCTGTGAAGCAGATATGCAGAGTAATTTGGATTGGATGGAAACTTCAAATTTATTCATATCCTCAAAATGATTTTAAACAATATAAATCATTTATTGTTGTTATTATTATATTTTATACATCAGTGTAAGAGGAAATTTATTCTCCTGTATGAATTTGAATAAAGTAAGAGCAAAAGCTTATATTCAGTCAACTCGATGGCTGACTGACTGGTTTTAACATAGAATTAAGCACAGATGTAAAGCAGTCTGAGCTGCTACATCCCCACTCCTTGTATTTATTTTTTATTTATTTATGTTTTTGATTTACAGCTTGATTCCACACTGTATTTTTGGTACAAGTATGGAATTTTCAGCATGTGATATCGGTAGCCCAAATTTTGCATGCCGACCATAGATATCAGGTGTACGCCAGCGTGGGCTCGAACCCCGGACCATGTGCATGGTCGGCGAGAGTCCTAACCACTGTGCCACCGACGCACACAAAGCAAGAGAAGAGAGTACAGAAAGATAATAAAGACAAGTTTGAGGCTAAAAGAATAGTAATATGGAAGAACAGTAGAGTTTTATTGGATGGATATGACAAATCACAAGGCATGAATGCATGTGCACCAGCCATTGACAACGGTTTGGAACCATATAAGTCATTGACTCTAGCCTCCATTGGTTCTTACCATTCTCAGGAAGCCAGTCTGCACCTCTCAACGTGACTGGTTTTAACGAACTGTTATGGATTTTGATTGACTGACAAAGCCATGTTTTGGTTAAACCACCACTAGGTGGCTCTTTTCCAGGCTGACTCATCTTATGTCAGCTAACATTGACCGTCGAGTTAAACGATCGATGACTAGACATGCATGCGTAACACATGTCCCAATGATCCCACTCAATGAATGCAGCTGGTTCACGACCTCGTCAATTGATTTCCCCTCCTTGCCTACCACTCGATCGAAGCCCAACGTTAATATTACTCACCCTATTACATCCACCACCTAACATGTGAAAGAGATCACCGATATATATGATGAAAGACAGCAAGCCAGCCTTTTCATGTTTTCTGCTTTGAAATCCTCTAAAAGCTCAATAAAAAACCATCTTATAAACTAGAGACATGATATTAATGTCGCTGTCGAGTCATTCACTGTTGTCAGCGAGCAGAGACGACCAGGGAGACGCTTACTATTGCGGAGGTGGCGTGTGCGATTCGAGTTTATAAGACAGATATCCCTGTGTAGAAAAGGAAATATTCTCCACTCTGAATCTACCATGGTAATATATTTTATTTATTAACTGTTATTTCTATTATAATTAATATTATATTATTATTATTATTGTTCTTGATACATTTGAAACTATCTTTTCAACAGTAGCATTATCTTAACACGCTTTAACATTGTTATTATTGTTATTATTATTATTATCATTATTGATGTTATTTAGTTCTCTTCTTTCATGCACTGATAACTGATTGTTTAGTTAAGTGATCTAATTGAACTGTAATGCATTGTAGCTTAATTTCCATCTCTCATACCACCCTTCCTCTTATCTATTTGAATGCAATCTGAAAAACATTCACACACCTGTCATTTTGTATGATTGATTCAATGTAGTTTATTTGCTTATCAGTCTTATATCTCCAAATGTAATTCTAATGGCATGTATATCCCAGTATGCCAAGTATTCAGCTGAACAAGACTACTATGGAAATTTGACGAATTCATTTAAATCCTGTGTTAGTAACAAAATACGTTGCTTGTTTGCCAATTCGCATCAGGAAATAAATGTTTGCAAATCAGAAAAAAAAATGAGAATAGAAACATTCATCCAAGATATCGCTACTCTTTACTATGATGAATTTGAAAGGTATTTTTTATTGGCGAACGTTTCATTGTCCTCCGCAGATAGCATTCCTAGTACTGACTTTTAGCTAGGTAAAGGAGAATGTGAAAAGTAGAATATCTGAAGATTATTTAATATTAAATAAATCGCCTGAAATATAATCACTTAAATCACTTAATTTTGTTTCCTATTTATAGACAAATCATGCCTTACTGAAAGATTTGAAATATAATCAAATTCGATTGGCTCAATCAACTTTTAAACGTTATCCAATTTTGTTACAAGAAAGAGTTGGTGGTAGTGGTGTTAGTGGAGGTTCTTTGTCTATCGATGACAGCGGTGGAGTTTGTGATGGTGGTGGCGGCGGAGGCGATGGGGTGATTGGTTATTCTGTTATGAATAAATCGGTTAAAATTGTGGATCACCATCATCATCACCATCGTCATCCTGAAAGGCGTATTCTTCTCAATAGGCATCAGCTACAACAGCACCAGCATGGAACTATAAAGCATATTACAGATGTAAAGAATATAATTGATGCACCAAGAACCAATGAATTATTGGCTTATTTAATCGATATGCTAGATTGTAGAATATTAAAAAGTTTTACATTCATTCTACTATCAGTCGCGTGTTTTGTAAATATGTTTGGTAAGTTTTTGACTTTGGAGTATTTATTTGATTGAATGCCTTCATTTTGTTATCGTTGCTGTTGTTACTGTGCACTCTAAGACTGATTCGTTAACAATATCGACTCATTCTTTAAAAAAAATATTTTGTAAAATTTCAGCGAGATTGAAATGAGTAATTCCAACGTTTCCTGAGTTCGGCAATCTGGTCCAAACATCTTCTGGGAAATTAATCGAAATTAACATAACAAAGGTTTATTATTATATATTATCATTTATTATTGTATCTTTTAATTCCCAGAGGAAAACAGGGCTTCAGCTGCGCGTCTCCATTGCCTTCGGTTTTCTGCCAACTTTTTCACCCCACTCTAATTCTACCCACAGGCTTTCATCTCTTCACATGACCTCCTCCAAGTCACCCCACCCTCGCATTGACGACCAACTCGCCGCTTCCCTTTCGGGTTCCACTCGAGCGATGGCTTGTCTAGTGATGTCACTCACTTGATGGTTTCTTCAGCGTATGGCCATCTCCATATCTTCCTGCCTATTTGTTGTACAATCGGTTCCTGCTGGGTTGGTTCCCTCATTGACAGAGATCCCTGTTGGTGATCTTTTCTGGCTAGCTGGCCATCTGATCTTGAGTAGCATTGAGCGAAGACAACTGTCAATGAAGGTGTGAAGTTTGTTTGAGGTGCTCTTTATGACGCGCTGGCCAAGTCTCTGATCCATCCGTATAGTGAGTAGCACTGACTTACTTCACATTGGAGTTGAATATCCGGATGTTATTTTTGATGATGAGTGATGTTGACCTCATCCACACAGACTTAAGAGTAATGAAAGCTTGTCTTGCTTTTCCAATTCTGGTTTTGATATCCTCGTCAGTTCCATCGGCCTGTAGTTGAAACGATGCTTCCCTGGTGGGTATGTAGGTGAAGGAGGTTATTTCTTTCAGGTTCCTCCCATTTATGGTGGCTGATTGTTGTCTGTTGTTGTTGTTGGTGTTGGCCAGGAATCTTCATCACCTCTGTTTTCTCTATGTTCACCTGAAGTCGTGCCTTTGATATATATATGTATATAAGGAACATCTCTTGTTTTTAAAAACTGTTCAGTCATGAGTCATAAAACAAGTTTCAACAAGTATAATAAACAAAATTGTAGGATTAGTATACAATTGGTGGATGGTGACTAGCAGTGGAATCCAGGATGCGCATTTCGAGCCTCAGTGGGAACGTCATCACTCACTGAGAAATGCAGGTACATCCAGCTGACCAGTCCCGAATAGGAGGAAATGCGCATCCTGGATTCCACTGCTAGCCACCATCCACCAATTGTATACTAATTTAATGCCCAGACATCGTCGAAGCATCTGCACAAGAAGCCGACATGTCAACCTGAGACCGAGCACTTCGGTTCAATCAATCGACGGGAAAATCAAAAATTCAATTCAAAGTTGTATGAGTTGTGATCAAAATTTGACCTTGGACTTACAAATATTGGTCTATTTTTGTTAAACACTTTAAACACAGTGTGTATTTGTGTGTGTGGGGGTAAAATAGTAGTAAAACATTTCTTAACATCTCCATAAGAAGATAAAGACAGTCGGAAATTTCGACCAAGTATTAATAATGTGTGATGCATATCCATTTTTACTTAATTATCGGGATTTTCTATGCATCAGCTAACAACATCACACCTTCATGTCTGTTCAAACTGTTAGTATCTAGAATTTTATGATTAGACGTATTTTCAAAATTATGGTGTTTAGGATTAGAGTTTAGTTGAAGAGCACCCTATCGAACTTATTGCTTTGTCTTCTTTTTGATGATTGAGCTGCTTTGTTCGACCTACTGGAGTTGTCAAGTGACTCGACAGCTACGGATGGATTTAAGATATGCATTATTCTGTTTCAGACAACGGAGATTGAAAACACGATGAATATTTTAGAACTATTCTGTCAAATCTTGGCAACAGTTCATTTTAATTATTTTGCAATTAAATTAAATTAATAAAGAAACTGTGTAATTGGCACAATTACAGTTTACTTCTCACTCGGTGGCGCCCAAATATTTTAGAACTTTTCTGTCAAATACTGACGACAGTTCATTTGAATCGACGCATTCTATTTATATTTTTGTTTATTCATTTTGATTATAGCTTGATTCCATACCGTATTTTGTTTTTGGTTCAAGTATGAAATTTTGCAGCATGTGGTATACCGTTAGCCCAAATTTTGCAGGCCGGCTATTGATATCAGATGTGTGTCCGGCAGAGGGTCAAACCCCGGACCATGTGCATTGGTCGGTGAGAGGTCTAATAGCTGTGTCACTGACGCACAAATGTATGAGAGATAGAGTGCAGTTCAGTGTAGTTTAGGGTGATGTAACTACTTGAGAACCTGTCAGGTCGGAGTGATTTAGAGAAACAAACAAACAGGACGATCATGTCAGTTGTTTTTTGACGCTGAGATTATGAAGCAGCCTACCCAATTGGATATAAGTCAGAGTGTTGAATGACAATGCAAACCAGTGGTACTTCATTGGCAGTTTGCGAACATTTTTAAAACAATGCTTATCGAACAAAAAATATTCTTTCCGATAACTTCTTCTTCATCAGGTTCTACAGTTATATATGTGCATAATAGGGAATGAATTAGTGTTATGAACAACATTCATGTTGCTGTTTAAATAACATCGAATCAATAATAATAATAATATTAATGGATTACAGTTTGACAGCATCTACATAACAATAAACTGAATGTCATAAAAATTAGGAATGATTATAATACAAGTTTATGAATTTATAGTCTCCATTGAAGGCCTGCCAGGGTAGTAGTAGTGGCTAGCTGGACTTACTTCTTTTGCACACAAAGCACTGGTTGTTTCAGGCGAATCTCGATAGCCTCTGCTGTTTTAATCATGCGGTGCTTCAATGTTTTTGGCAATTTATTTGATACCTAGTAGATGATCGAGAAGGTTTTACCAATGCTGGCTGACTTTGTACCCGGTTTGCACCAGACGGCCTAATAGTGAACCGTTGATCGTTCTACACCTACACATTTACTGAGCCATATTGGTAGATGTTGTTGGGCACAAAAACATCAAGTTCCTAGGGTAACACCTGATATAAGCCACTCCACCACGAGTGAAGTTGAATTAGTAGATACAATTAGAAGTAACTAGTCTAGTCACTTCATCTTTCAACCGAGGAATCACCATCGGTCGTGTAGAGAATAAGTCGTGTAGTTCGTCAGCATTAAAAGTTCTTTGAACTGATTTCCTTAATTTGTTCGTAATTATTTCGCGTGGTATATTGCACTTGAATTGCAGTCGTATACAATGAAGCTTCTTGTTTACGGAGAGTGAGTAGTAATTTTCTGCTTTCTTTGTCATGGGCTTCTTAATAAATTTCTTGGGATAGATATTTTCAATCAAGGCATTGTATACAATGCTTAGGTCATCTTAATTCGATGTTATTTAAACAGCATTATTGTTTGTTGTTAATGGCAATAATTCATTCCCTATTATGCACATATATAACTGTAGAACCTGATGATGAAAAGCTTGGTTATCGAAAAGAGTATTCTTTGTTCAGTAACTGTTCTTATGAAAAAATCTTAATGGGCATTTTTAATCAATGTGCATATTACTCATATCAGTTAATCAGTAGTATACACCATCGTGCATTTATGTTTGCTTTCTGAATCGTAATTTTATGAGTTATCCAACATGTCACATACTGTGAGGATCTGAATAATTTCAGTTTCTAAGTGATGAAATAGTGGTGGATTTTTCATCTCCTCAAAAACAGTGTAAAGTGCAAACCTCTTGAAAACTGAATAACCAATTGCCTAGTGGTATGAAGGTCAGATCCCAAGTTGTCCAGCACATTATCATTCTCGGTCTCTCTCTCTCTCTCTCTTCCTCTCGCTGACTGACTAACTAATGTCGCTTCATGACGAAATCGATCAAATCTCCTCACCAGGTCAATGAACACATTCAAAAATTAAAGGAAACCTGAAAACTTTCAATTGGGAAGAAGGGACGACACTACACACACACACACACACACCGTGTGTATACAATTTCAGCCTTCATCTTATTTTTCTCAGACAGAAATCCAACTAGATATTATGAAAATACTGAAAATACTAGAATTATGTAAACCCCCTAACCGAATATATCTTAGGTTTCAGGAAATCATCATGGAGTGACATCTTTTGGAGGACCATTGGATAACCTGCAGACAGTACTGAACAGCTGTTTCACCAGCCTACTCTGGCACTCTTCGTCAATACGCACCTACCGACAGGGTTCGAATACAGGACCTTGTGGTTATAAAGCGAGCTTGCAGACTATATCGTGAATTGGCAGAAGTTGGAACTCATGGACCATTGGATTGAGTCTGGCTAGCATTGTAACCAGAAGGTCCTGGGTTCTAAGTCTGATGGGTGTATACCGATGAAGAGTCCCAAACTGGGACGAAACAGGTGTGTTGTATTCTCTGCAGGTTATCCAATGATCTTCCAACCAATTAAATTCCTGCAAATTAGCATTTAAATATATATAGGTTATTATTTCATCACATGTGTTATAAAAATACATTATTATTATTATTATTATAATTATTAATGTACGCCTTATTCAACCTTCATCCCTTATTTCCTTTTTTGAAAAAAATCTTATTGATTGATACTAACTTTTATTTTCTTTTTCTACCAATGATTGAAGACTAGTCAAAAAATCTGTTGTCTTTTAGCATTTTTGCAATTTTTATTCTGCTTTCCTTTCTCCCTCTTCCTCTGACTGTCCTCTCTTTCGTTTTTCTCTTTTCGATTCTAAAGTGTTTGTTCAAGGCGTGTAGAGTAATACTATTTCTCCATTTAAACGACTTCATTTTCAACCAGCTGTACAGCAGTCGGAAAAATAAAAGCAGTCTTGAGTGGCTTCAGGAATTGCTTAGTTGTCACAATATTTCACGTATGATAAGAATAAAGATAATGAAAATGATGTACTACTAAGG